TACAATTTTCTAAAATAAGAGGGAAATTTTAAAAATGCATCATAAGTTATTTAACTTGCAGGCAAGAGAGGAACTTTCATCAGGAAAGATAAGTATAAAGTAAGCCTATGTTTTATAGTTACTACGGCTCTGTAGAGCTAGCATTGTAAGAAATCATTGTAAATATGTTCTTAGACCAAAAGAGGTGATTAGTTCATTGCATTCATCACTGGTGGAGTCTCACCTTGAGTAATGTGTGCAGCTCTGGGCCCCAAAATATAGGAAAGTTTTGAAGGGCTTTGGATGCATTCAGAAGAGTCCAAAACGTTGGTGAAAGGGATGGAAGAAAGGAACTGCTGAGGACTTTGGACTTGTACAGTTTCAAGAAAAGAAGGCTGAGTGGCTCTTTTCAGCTTACTGAGGTGGGAAATAGAAGAAGGAAGTGCTGATCTCTTGTGCCTGGGACTCAAGGGAATGGTTTCCAGGGTAGATTTGTTTTGGACAGTGGGAAACATTTCTTTACTTATGTGGTGGTGAACCACAGGAACAGGCTTCCTAGAAAAGTGGTTGATACCCCAAGACTGTCAGTGTTGAAGAGATGTTTGGGCAATGCCCTTGTTAATATGCTTTAGTATTTGGCCATCTACGAAGTGGTCAGGTGGTTGGACTTGATAATTGCTGGTCCCCTCCAACTGAAATACTCTATTGTGTTTTGTTTTTTTTTTTTTCTAAATCTGTGTTCATTAGTTCTTTTATTGTCAAACAAATTACTGAAATAAAGTCAAATTTAATATCTGGCAAGTTTTTATCCCAAGTATGTTTAGATGTTTCTTATAGTATGTCAGTATCATTATGGTGGGAATTTAACAGAAGATACCAGCTGAAAAGTGGCAAGCCAAGTTCAGAACTCATTACTGTTCTAGATCTCAGGTATCTGGCACCTCATTGCGCATTTGAGTGTAAAAAAGTGTTCATTAGATTGTCTGAAAATACATATCTAGAATGCAATTTGAAATATTAAGTTCTTCTAACAATTCTTTGCTCTAAGGGGAAACAAATGGAAAGAATCGGTTGCACCTCCCTGAACTTTGGAAAATTAAGGATTTTAAGTTGCCTCACACTAATCTGTGTCTAATTCAGCTCTGCATTTAATAAAAAGCAACTTATAAAGGAAAATAAGAGAAGGAAAAATTATGCTGATAGCAGTAAAAATATCGGTATGAACAACCTTGATCCTCATTTTCACAGGGAATATTTTCATATTTGCTCTCTTTAGCATTAATAAAAGAATTAAACTGTTCAACTAGAAATCTATCTATTTAACAGATGTAAAGAAAAAATAATGTCAGAAACTAAGAAAAAAACTGTAATATAGCCAACCATTATATATTGTGCATCACTTGAGCTTAAAATCCTTTACTGGTCTGTGAGGGTACTGTTTGAACATAAACAATAGTTCAGTAGTAGTCCTGTAAATGCATTTAGACTGATAAAGTGTGCCAACTATCTCTACCTCTCATTGTCTTGGCTAGCACATGTTATTGATCAAGAGGTTTTTGAAAGGATTTTCATTCTTTTTTATTATTTCACATTCTCTTTAATGACATGAGACTGTTTTGTTTTTAAGATGTTTGCCTCTTTTTGGTTAGTTTTGTTTTGTTATAGAGACATCTAAGTGATGTCAACGCCATCACTCAAACATAGCTCTTCTGTGGTGGTGCTTAAGTTCTCTTTCCTTTGCCAGGTGCTTAAGTTCTCTTTCCTTATTACCATAGGCCAAGTGTTTGGCAGCAAAATTATTTAGCTTCTTGCCTCGGGAAAGTGAACTTTGTTGTGGTTTTAGTTGTACCTTGAATTGTTTGAGAACAAGTAATTGATTATTTATTTTAGATTACAGGTAAGCAATAACTAAAGACTTTAGTGTTTGTCTCTGTTGTCTTCAAGTTTGCCTTTTTCTGTAAGTAAAGATACCAAATTTGCTTTTTTTCTGTAGGTAAAGATATGCCAAGATATTTATGAATTTTGATCTCTAGTAGCACCAAGAGAAAACAGGTTTTAAAGCTGTCTTTTTTAGTTTTTGTAAGCCTGGGGATATCCTTTTCATCTGTGTACTGCAACACAAACAAATAGTAGCTAATAGTCCACATTCACAATGGTTAAACAAACTGAGCTTTAATGAAAGGGTAGATGACACTACTAGCTAGTGACAGTAGTCAGAAGTCACAAAATCAAGATCATATAAAAATAGTTATCTGTACTCCCATAGTCTGATTAACATTGTTACTTTCTGGCTGTTTTGTCATTTGGAGGTTTTTTTTGCTTTATAGTCATAAATTCATTATTAATTTAATCAGTCTGTTTTTACTCATAGTATTTTTTCTAACTTGGAAAGCATAAGTTGACATTTCAATTGATGCAAGACATTGGAGAACCTGTAAAAGAAAGTATTTTCATTTTTCTTTTTACTTAAACCTGTAAATGTTGATTTCCAAGAACACAGTCAGTACCACAATGACTCTTGAAATTATGTCTGTACTTTTACATTCATTATATTACCATTGAGAAAGTAATAAAAAACCCTCATGTCATGGCTAGTCTGACATAAAAATAGTTATAATCAAGATTTTCTTTAATGGTAGCAGTGTGATTATTTTAATTTTGCCAACTATAAGTATGTAGTTCCCTAGCCCTTAGAGAATCTTTAATGATAGCATAATATATACTATTTCTGGGATATTATTATGAATACTGGATGCCTTGCTTTACCTTCTGTATTCTACATTGGCTTTCATGTATTCAAATTGTGTGTGATTATATATTTTGTTCTTGAGAAACACTGAAGTAAAAGACTTTGAAGCAGATTGACAGAAATCAGAAATTAGTTTCCTGACTTCTTTCTGCCTAACTACATTGCTGGTTTGTGGGTACAAATGAAACCCTGATTAACCCTTTTTAGTTGTTTTTAATTTCTGTCTTGGCTTTATTTATCTTTTATTACTTTCTTCATTAGCTTCTTCCACATATACCACAATCAATTTCCAAAGCTGAGTTCACTTAAATTCACATTCCCTTCAGATTCGCTTAGATGCACATTCATTTTAGATTCACTGAGTTCACTTAAATATACACATTCCCTTCTAGCAAGCTGGTTTTATTTAACATAAATTTTTTGTGTGGGTACAGATTAATGGAAAAAATTTGAAGAAAGGAGTAACTCTCAGGATTATTAAGATGAGTATTTTAAAGTGAAACTGAGAAGTTCAATACAAATTAAGCTAAAAATACAAATTATTTTTTTTTAATAATGTCCATTGTTTTCTTTTAAGTTAGTGATAAAGCTGTTACAGAATCACAGACTGGTTTCTTCTTAATGAAAAAATTATTTGTGTAATGGTATTGATGCTTTTTCGTAGGACTGTGATAACCCATGGCATCTAATTCTAACTTAAATATATCAAAAAAGCCTAAGAATTGGTAATTTTTTTCCTGAGAAAACTTAAAACATTCTAGCAATAACAATGACTTCAGTAGTTTGATTTCTATTGATAGTGTCCGCTGCTTCTTCACTGCTTCTATACTCCATGTGCATTTCTAAAAATATGTAATGAGGAGCTATGCCTGAATTTTACATGGTTATTGAAATAAAGTAAAAACATAACAACCTTACTTGTGATTTGAGTTTTTTATAATTCTCAGTAAATCAAAAATTATAATGGTGTGCAGGAGTGGGAAGTATGACAGTTAAATAGCTGCTCTTGCTATATTTTGCATAGAATCATAGAGTGTTAAAGGGTTGGAAGAGACCTTAAAGATCATCAAGTCCAAACAACTCCCACTACACCAGGCTGCTCAAGGCCTTGTCTAACCTGACTTTGAACATTGCCAGTGTTGGGACATCCACAACCTCCCTGAGCAACTTGTTCCAGTGTCTCACCAATCTCACAGTAAAGAATTTCTTCCTAAATTTCACATCTTTCAGTTTGTACCTATTACCCCTAATCCCATCACTACAGTTCCTGACAAAGAGTCCCTCTCAAGCTTCACTGTAGGGAAAGATATTGGAATGTTGCTGTTAGGTTTCCACATAATTTTCTGTTCTGCATGCTGAACAGCCCCACCTTTCTCATGCTGGCTTCATAGTGAAAGTTCTCCGGTCCTCTTGTCAACTTGATGGCCCTACTCTAGACTGGATCCAACAGTTGCATGAACTTCATAATTTGGGGACAACAGAACTGTACACAGTTTTAGAGGTGGGGTCTCGCAAGAGCAGAGGAGGGGGTGAGAATCATCTACTTCAGTCTACTTCTCCCTTTGATGCAGTCCAAGATTCCATTTGCCTTCTGGGCTGTAAACAGAAATCTGACTGCCATGTTTTTTTCAGAAATTATGGATAATGGCTTAGCAGCTTTGTCTGCCAGCTCTCTCAGGACCTGCAAATTAATCTCATTGGGTCCCATGGACATGTGAATATTAACATTCCTTCGTCTTGAACCTGGTCCTCTTCTACAGTGGGCTCAGTGTTTTCATTCTCCCAGTCTCTGCATTTTCCATTCTTGACATGGGTGGAGTGGCAAGAGCACTTGCAATTGAAGATACATAAAGAATATATCTTTATGATATTGTTCTTTTGAATCTAAATGAGTAGATTTTTTTAGACTATTGAATGTATGTGGTAAATGTAAAAACATTTTATTTTAGGAATTTGTGAAATTATAGTTACATACACATCTGTTGAAAATCTGCTAACGATTGCCTGATAGGAATATTTTTATATAGTGGCCCATTTATGAGCTTCCTTGCTGATTGCATTTTAAAAGAATGTCTCCCTGCACAGATAACATTCAGTTTTCTAATTTGCTTTTAAAATAGTAATCCGTTTTGGAGATTTATTTGCTTAAGATAATGAGGTAGGATTACAATAGAATTAACTGCAATGCTATTAAGTGTTGGTTTTTTTTTTTTTTCCTTGGTCTAGCCTTATGCTTTCAGTTTAAAAGTAAGATGAGATTTATTTTTCCTAGGCTACAAAACAAATTCAAGACAAGAAGACAAAAAGGCAGCTGAGATAGTAATTCTCCTGAAGAATTAAGACACCGGTGTCTTTGAGGTATGTTTGTTTTGGAAATGTTAATTATTTATGAATCTTGACAATATGTATGAGAGTAATTATGAGTGCTTTTAAACGTTAGTGACTATTTAACATCTTCAGATGTAGTTCATTTGAAAGCAAACTCCAAATACACACACACACACACACACACACACACACACACACACACACACACACACATATATATATATATGGGATTTTTAAAATAAGTATGGTAAATTAGTTGTAAATGTGCTTCTGTTTTATCTGACACTATCTTTCTGTCTAGAAAATTAGGTATAGCCATCTGCAAAGTTAAAAATCTAGAAGTGTTCTGTGTTCTTGCTGACTTAACAATTGCTGCTTTCTTTATGTGCCATAGGTACTGAGAAAAATTTCAAAATAAGAATGTTCAGGAAAAAGCTGTAAAAAATTTTATATGCAATAGGTATTACTATGTTTTAAATAGCAACTATAAACATTTATATCACCAATACGTTAAAGAGAATGTATAGAAATAAATTATTAACTCCAAAAGGGACACAACAGAAAGTCACCAATAGGTAGCAGATTAATGGAAGATAAACTAAAGAAATTCATCACTACCTTTTCACAAGTTTAAAAATAGCCTATTTAACACTGTTTTTCAGTTGAAAAATGTTTGAACTCAGTACACTGGATTCCACTTTTGTAAATGTACCAGCAAAACTTGCAGGGAACTAAGGAAATGGAGCTGATGCTAATTTCATTTTAGATCTAGTTATCACTTAGCATGTTCAGGAGCTTAAACAGTCTTCATACATTCAAAAAGTACTGAGGCCTGGAAAGCATTCTTTATTTTTATTGCACTTGGGAAATATTCTTGTGTAGTTTATTTTTCTTGGAATGCCTTCCATTCCTAGTTTTCTCTTTCATTCAATATATTGAGTTTCAAAGGATTTTTTTTTTTTTTGCCCTAGAGGAGGTATTTTCCCACAACAGTAAAACCACAATTCCTCTATCTTTTATTATTTCAGTACTCATCTGAAGCTTCTTCCTTTTGCAGGAGGTATATTTCACCAGCATAGGCTCTTGTCTCTTCTACATTCCCACCAGATATGAGTAATTTTGTTCACATTCGACCTGATGGAAGCAGCATGTAGAAGTTTGGCTAGTCAGCAAAATATCTCATGGATGTTAAATTCTGTGAGCCTATAGTGTGATGCAGAGATTTTGTCCAAAAATAATTTTCTACTAAAAAACAAACAAAAAAACCCCCCAAAACAAACAAACAAACAAAAACCCCAAAACACAAACACAAATTCAGTTTCCTCCTCTCTCAAAGACAATTATTTATTTCAGCTCTCTTTAAAGCCACATACCTGCTCAAGACTGTTGACCTCTAGGATTCTTTTTGTTTTCTTTGCTTTAGATGTTTAGGTGTTCAATAACAGATTTGAAGCCATTAGAACTGAGAAGCTGAGTTCTGTATGCTATCTTTAAATAATATTATTCACAGTGAATAGATTCAGATTTTTTGCCTCTAGCATTTGTAACCACAAGTACCTCTCCTTTGTTGTCAGTCTTTTTCCCTGGAGAAACAATATTTGAAGTACTGCAATATACAGCAAGAGGGAAATCAGCAAGTATTCACATAGTTTACCCTACTATTCTTTTATTTCTCAGCATACCTAAATTTTGTATTGGAGAAAGGAATTTAAAAGGAATTGTTGAAAATTTGATAAGACTCTACACACATGCCAGTGACATCTGGGAAAAGTGTTTTTTAATAAATGAAAAATCTCCTTGGCCTTTTCCCAACTCCCACTGAGATATATACTTGTTCCTCAGGGCACAATTTATCTTGCAGATTGTATTAGATTTGTAGTCAAAGGATAGAAGCTCCTCCTATCTGTGTTAAATACATGTAGCTTTCAGAAGCATGGTAAGGCAATATTTTTATATTGAGTAATGCAGAAAAATGTGTAAAAAAAAATAGATCTCACTTCACTAGGTCTATCTGAAACAAGATATCAAGTAAATATTTAATGATTTTTAATCAGTGTGCTTTAGCTTCAGATCTATTGATATTGATGTATTTTTATCTAGCCTGATCCCTGAGTGTTCACATGTATGCAGTGTTTGTTATTACACATTTGTAAAGCCTTTATAAAATCTTAATTTTCTCTCAGTTATGGAAAAATAATTGTAAAACAGCAGACAAAAAATAGTATAGTATAAGGAAAAACAAAAGAAGAAATCATGTCTGACCTTTCTCATTCCATCTGCCAGAATATTTAATCTTACTCAGTTTAGTATTTTTGTCATTTTAGACTATTATGTGATGGACAAGTTGCCATCTGCTTTCAAGTGGATTTTGAGTGGATTATTTAATCTGCAGTTCAACATTTCTGACTCTTTATAAAAGTATAAACATTGTCCTTGGTGGCAGAGAAGACTGATTTTCCCACGTGAGAGCCTTTCTGTTGTATAATAATCAGAATAATGAAGACATAGTTTTAGTAGCAAACAATTGGTATACATATGTGTATATATATATATATATATATATATATAATCTTTCTCTGAGACATCATGTTAGAGTTTAAAAAATGAGTTTATGTTATCTGAAGCTATGCTTTCAAATCTTCTCCTGGTGATATAGGCCTTCTTGAGCAAGCAGTGTAAGGAACTACTAACAAAGTTCATACTGGAGCTTTTGAAAGAGTCTGCCTTACTGATTTAATGAATGCTAAGGATCTAAGTAAATAGAAACTTGTACATGCCACAGAGGCTCTCTACCAGATGACTGACATTTCTGTTTGTAGCTTATATATATATCAGTTAGGTCCAACTATTTATCTGTTCCAAACCCACATATCTAATTTTGCTTCTCTGATTTAGAATGAAGTTACCTGATCTTATAGTGCTCTTATGCATATTCTGCCTTTTTATATGGTTATAAGCACATATACAATTTTGCTAAAGTGCTGCATGCCTACTCTATTCTTTTGATACATTTACCTTTCAAAATTACTACATGAAAATATTTTATACATGAAGCAGCCTATATTTTCATGTCTGTTTAAAAGTCTGACTTGATAAATGCAAATGAAGGTTTTAGAGCTACCTTGTGACAGATGTGTGTTTATCATGGGGCTAAAGGAACTCAGCCTTCTTGTAAGTGTTGCTAGATGTTGACGTTACTTTTCAAGATATAAACCAAGAAATTCATTGTCTAGAGTAATGTACTTTGAGTCCACCTTGGATTTTAGCCTACTGCAAGACTGATTGGTAAATTACTTCCCTGAAAATTCAGAAATATTGCAGAATATTTTGAGTGTTTTGTGAAATGGAGTTGAAAAATATTTTAAAGCAGGAAATTTACTTAAATGTACAAAAAACTGTCAACCTAAATTTTAAATATATGAGCTTTTCAAGGTTTTCTACTCTGAAAGTAATTTAAAAATTGAAATTATGTTGCAAAAAATTTCTGTCTCCAAATTATTTTCTGGCTTCAAAATCAGTATAAACGGATCCATATTATTGTCAGGTTTAAAAGGATTTGATTTCATTTGAGATAATAATGTAAAAGGCAGAGAATTTAATAGAAAAATTTTTCACACTGTATGTCTTGAGAAAAGACAATATATTTTGAGACCATTTCGTATTGTTTATGTGTGTCAGAAAATATTATTAATTTGGTTATGTAACAACCACTATATGCAAGTTTTCTTGAAAAATCATTAAAACAGTAGATATTAAACCATCTCATCCAAATATGTGAGAGGGATTTCAAGGCAAATTTGTAAACACTAGATCAAAACTTAGTGAAAAGTCAGTCATTAATATGACTAGTCTGAACTAGAAGGTGGATTGTTTGGAACATGACTGCCGGGTTTTTTTGTGCAACCATTTTTGTTTAAAAGTACAAAAGCTAGGTATTTTGTGATATCAGTCACAGCTCAAAGTAAACTGTGTGGTCCCTTTTGGAGTCATAAAGAAAATATTTATATACTCATCAGATAGCTTTCCTTTGTGAATTCAGTGGCAGGTACTTCCACTCTAGGACTAAAGCAGCAGAAGTACAGGTGAAGATTGCACATGAAATGTAACAGCAGGAGGACGCAGGAAGGGAAAGAATTATTTGTATTATTTCTTCAGTTGATAGAAGTAGCATAAGATTCCAACCTGAAATGACCAGGTTGTCAACCTGCCTGTGTAGAAGAGGTGTATCTTCAAGCAAAGGCAGAGGGGTGCAGCTCCATGACACCGGGGCTGAAGTAGCTGCCAAGGACAGCCAGTGGTGATGCAGGGTCCCGTTCCAGCCCTTGGCCATGGGGCACTGCTTTGACTGGGCTCTGCTGCAGAAGCTATACCCTTGGAAGCAGCTTGAGAGTGATAGGCAGGCTTGTTTCTCACCTGCAAAGTGTGCACTGGGTGTGATCCGATCAACAGGGATACTGCTTGTATACAGTAGCTTGATTCTAATTGGCTACTACTGGCATATGCTAATCTGTTGTCTGTGCTTTCATGGTCTTTGGTTTAAAGAATTTATTTGAAATAAATTTTTAAAAAATTAATTTATTTAAACTAATCCAGAAAGACACAGACATTCAGATTTCTGTTAGCAGTTTTTCCTTGACCTATATAACTTGAAGTGTTTATTGGTTTTCAGCTGCTCTAGGGAAATTGCAAGAAATGAAAAAAACTACAGATAAAGGGAGCTGCTTAGCAAATGCCACTAACAGCACTTAAATTCTAGTATATACAAATGCACAAACTTCTTGTTTTACCCAAAATTTTACTATTTTGTGTTCTAGTTTTATGGATTTGCTACCAATGTGATGATTTCTTCTTTCTGGCAAATAATTGCTTCTGATTTTTGATGTTTGCTTCTTACAGTTGTGGTTGCTTTCTTACAGTTACACTGCTTTCCTATGAAACAGCTAAATAGTGTAGTATAACTCTTTCAAAATATGGATTAAAAATAATGTCTCTTCTGATGGAAAGAGTAGTTTCTCCTTCTCTTTCTTACA